GGCCTTGTCGACTATGACTCCGGCCGAGTTCATGACGCGGTAGGTCTCCAGGGCAGGCTGGTCGGCCGGGTAGGCGAAGCGCATCTCGCTGCTGAACGCGCTGTTGACTGCGCCGGGGAAACGGACACTGCGCAGAGACCGTCGGCGAGTCAGTAGGGGGGTGCGTGCGGGCTGCCACCGCTGCCATCGTCGCATGGCATCCTGATGCCGGCACCAAGTGGTCGTCATACTGACCGGTCTGAGCCAGGCGCTTGCGAGACGTGGCGGGCCTGCTCACGCCTTGGCGAGGCCCATGCTGGCGGGCGAGCTGGTGTCGGAGGCGGTCTCCTGAGGCAAGCCAGGAGGCATCGCGGGCAGGATCCGGTCCGTCGAAGCATCGCGAGGAGAGCCATACAGCCGAGTCAGAACAGCCTGTGGGTGGCGAACTGATTGCTGCCGGCACACTGGCGCCGAATCATTCGTGAAGCTGGTGGGAGTGTCGCTGCCCTCCCACCTGCTCTCAGCGCGTAGCGCTGTCGTCGTGGCCCGGCCTCAGGTGAAGTGCAGGTCGCCGAGGCCAACCGCCCGGTGCGATTCTTCGGCCACGGACTGACACGTCGCAGCCTTGTCAGCATCTAGCACAGAACCAAGCTCAGATCCAGACTCACGCAGACAGACTGCTGCGTCTGAGCAGCTTCAATCCCCTCCTGAAGCCGCAACGCTGTCCTGCCGGTCGGCTGGTCGGCTGGTCGGCTGCTCGGAGTGCGGGTGACGTCCTGGTGCATTGACATGGGCAGGGATGAGGCTGCATGGGGTGAGGCGGAGGTGAATGGGCAGGCTTAGCGGGGGGCCAGCTGTCGAGGAGCGGATCGACCTTCTCTTGCAAGCTTATCACGGGTTACTGGACTAATTGGCTGCTTGCCATCCCCATCATCGCCATTGCCACGCCTTCACCACGAGACAGCGACACGAGCCAACGATCAATGCCTCGCTTTCTACCCCTGAGGCGAGGCGGAGGTGAGGAGGTGAGCGGGGCAAAAAAGACGCTGACAAGAGTGGGGTTCGAACCCACGCAGTGTTTCCACTAGCAGAGTCTTGGATTTATTTCTTGTTTCCAGAACTTAAATCTGCCGCCTTAGACCACTCGGCCATCTTGTCAAAACCATTGAGTTTCCTGGTGTGGCTGCGTCATAACCCAAGTAACAGCACGCAGCAATCGGATCTGGTGCAGGGCGTTCAATCCTCACGTCAATCGGTCGGCCGGTTGGCAGCACGCATCAATCGGTGCCAATTCGGTGGTCTTCGTACTCTCAGCAATGCTGCTAGGGTCCGCGTGGTGGCATTGGTCAGTCCGTCTGGCTGACTGGCATGCTCAGCGCGTTGGGAGTGGTCCAATGGGTGAGACAACCGCCAGCAAACCAGCCTGCCCGCCAGCCTGCCTGGTCAGCCAGCGTGCGCGGTGGTCGCCTCTGACTTGCTGCGCCTGTCAAGTGATGGATAATCAGCTACCAACCGGTCAGCATCTTAGCGTGTCACAGTCTCCGGCCTGGCTGGGCTGCGTTGATGCGCATTGCGGCGTGTCAGAACAGAGTTTCTGAATGCAGGCATACCACCGTCTGACCAACGGGTTGGTGCAAGTGGCACGGCGTTGCCTCGCCAGCCATGCCATGCCATGCCATGCCATGCCGTGTCATGCCATGCCCAATGCTTCCGTAGGCTGTCTCTCACCCGCTGCGTGACTGTCATGCACGTAGCATGCATTGGTTGTCCTGACTGGCTACTCTCCTCTCACGCTCGTGTTGGCGTCCAGCTTGCAGTACTTCTGCCCTGCGTTTGATCGGCGCACTCAACCGCAGCCGCAGCCGCAGCCGCAGCCGTCGGTCATAACCACGACTACGACGACAACAACAACAACAACAAGGACGGCGGCAAGTCAAGGAAGCACACCAGCATCACTGAACGCATTCACATCTGCGCATCCCATACCCCGGTCTCATTGCCATCCTGAGAATCAGTCCCAGCTTCGCACATCACAGCCGCATTAGCCTGCACAGTCGCCGTCGCAATGGTGAGTCCTGTCCCACGAGCCCCTGTCATCCTCCTGTCATCCTGCCCAGCCAGCACCACATTACACCCTCGGCGGCACATTGCCACTCTGCCAATCTCCTGGTGCCCTCGCTGGCCAAGGCGCGCAGCCGACACACACTGCACGACATCGACAACGCAGGCGCGTCGCGTCTGGTTTGGGCTGCCCATCACCCGTCTACGATGAACGACACCACAGCATCCCACCAGTGGCAGCATCACCAACCACCGGCTGACACTGACATGACCGACGCTGTGCGGTGCACATGACAGGCCTCCACCAACTACAAGGAAGCCTTCTCCCTCTTCGACCGCAAGGGCAACGGGCGCGTGACCCTGGAGTCGCTAGGCGACCTGCTGCGCGCCTGCGGCCAGAACCCCACCCTGGCAGAGATCCGCGACCTCGAGAAGAGCCTGGGCGGCAGCGACTTCGACTTCGACGCCTTCTCCAAGGTGCTGCACCGCCCCGGCGGGTTCAGGGACCCCGGCGAGCCCGAGGAGTACTGCAGGGGCTTCCAGGTCTTCGACAAGGACATGACCGGCTACATCGGCGTCGGGCAGCTGCGCTACATCCTCACCAACCTCGGCGAGAAGATGACCGACGAGGAGGTGGACGAGCTGCTCAAGGCCGTCGACACCAGCTCGGGCGAGATCAACTACGTCGGTGCGTGGCCTTCTGACTCGATGAAGCGTGACCGCCTCTACTCCTCCGATGACTGACATTGGATGCCCCCCTGGGCCAGCGCAGAGCTCGTCCGCACCATCCTCGCGAACTAGCAGCATGCGCAGTCTGCTGCCGTCTCCAGGAGTGATTCACGCCCATCGCCTGACCCCGACTCGTGGGTTCAAACGGGGTCGCCGCCGTGTGGCCCCCAGCTTTGTTGTCTCTCGTTCGCACGCAAATTCCCCTGATGCTCTGCTCTCTGCTCCCCTGCCTGTGTTCCGCCTTGTGTCCTCCGTCTACCGTCTGGCTGGTGTTTGTATGTCCATCTCGCAGCTGTCCTGTCTCCAGCGCCCTCCGTGCCATGCTCCTCCCTCCATGCGCCCCTCAGTAGATGTCTGTCGCCCTGCTGCTGCGCTGCGTGTAGAGTATGCAGGCGCGGCAAGCAACTGCCAGCTGACGGCGGCGACTGCACCCGCACCCGCACCTGCA